CACAAATAAACAAAGAGGAAAGATCTCACCAAATAGATTAATCAAAAATCTTCAGAACCAGAGTTGTAAAAGACCCAAAATAATAATCCAAATTAGTGCCACCAAACACCAGTCGAAGAAGAACAAAACATAAAGCTGCCGAAGCCTTTTTCCCAAGAACTCCAGCAACAAAACAAAGCACCAATCTACCTAAAAGATGATCAATTAGTTGCTGCCGTTTCACACTCCACTTCGGGGAACAACAAATTAATTACGGCAGCCACTATGCATTCTACTTCAGGAAAAACAAAGCCATACATATATATTGTCAAATCTGGGGTTTGTTTTATCAAAACCCTAGTTGTATCCATCTCTACAAATATAATATATAAAAATATATTATACCTAAATCAAACTTAATTAAAACTCTTTTAACAAACTAATTTGGTCCCACATTCCAATAAAAAGGTATATCCAACACTTCCCAAACAAAGCCTTAATGCTACAATGATCATAATTATCAACTGTATAAATGCCTTGTAAAACAATGGGCCTTTTTTTAAGAAAATTGTTGGGTCCTTAGCAGTCCTGCGCTTCTAACTTCTAAGCAACACTCAGATAATTGATTACTGGGCCAAGTTTCTAGTTTGACTCATATTTAAGGGTTTTTTTTTTTTTTTTTCTCAAAAGGCATATATATTGGCTTCGTTTGAGAAGTGAGTTAGTTTTTTTAATTTTTAACTTTTTAACTATTTTAACTTGGGGCTAAAAAGTCTTATTGGAGTTGAATTTTTTGACTTTTTTAACTTTTGTAAGAGAAAAAAAGAAATGATTATGATTTGCATGTAACATTTTGTCTACTTGACTTTTTAATTTATTTTGTATTTTTATAACTATTTTAATCAAAGTCAACCCAACCAATATGCCAAACAAGGGCATAGAAGATTCACCTACAAGCACTAGAGGATCTTCTTTACCAAAAAAGAAAGACACCAAAAACAAAAACAAAAACAAAAACAAAAACAAAAAAAAATCCAATTCTAGTTGTTAAATAAAAGTTTGCCAAATTGACATTTAATTCTTCTCCTTTTTTTTTTTTTTTTTTAATACCTAAGCTCAAAAGGGCCAATTTCACTATAGTTATTGGTTATTGGTTAAATTTACACAATACATAAAGTAAGATGGAGAGACATATTGACGCAGCAGAATATATGGGAACTATATATCGTTTTAATAGATGAAAGAGACTCTTGAATTCACGAGAAAAATATAACCTTAAATCTAGAAGGAAGAGAAAATATATTAATATTATTTAATAAAAGTTGCCTTTGCCATGAGGTTTATAGCTATTTATAATAATATAAACCTTAGAGACCAAGTATTCTTGGACACCAAGAAAACTCAAATTTGGAAACAATAAACTAATCTAATTATTGGAAAACAAGAAACCTAAGAAATTAGAAAAACAAAATCAAAACAAATTACGAAATCTAATAATTCTAAAATATTTATACTAAATTACAAGAATCCTAATAAAATAATATATCAAAAATATTAAAACAAAAAATATAAAAATTCTTAAAATCTTGTCATACATCAAGCTCCTCTTCTTTGAAAGAACTTGTCCTCGAGTTCATACTAGAGATCTGCTATGGTCCATACCAAATAAAAAGATACTTGAAATACTTCAGTTGTTTGTCCCTCTTCCAAAAATTATATGCAAAGACGTTTACTTTCTGAAAATTATTCTCTATATGCTTTAACTGGTTGACAGGATCAATTAGACAAGTATTGAAAATCAAATTAAATTGCTCCACACCAAGAAAATCAACCAAATTTACTTTATATAGAACTTGCATGCTCTCTTGATGTTGCACCATCCCAAATTCAATTGATCCTTCAATTATCAACCTTGGAATATCAAGTGTAGCATCAACCAATTTCATTGTTACACGCAGCGGTTGTATTATCTCTTCTTCCATTTTCTCTTTGTTACTGGGCTCAATCAGATCTCCTTCTTCTTCAATATTTTTATGATTTGTTTGCGAGACTTTCTCCCCAATATTCAAATTACCATGTATTGATACATTATCAACACTCAAACAAGACTTTGCATCTTCTTTATTAATTTTACAAACAATCTCACCACAAATAATATTTGGATGGGAATTCTTTTCTTTTGCAACTACAATTTCATTGCAAGTTTTTACCAACTCTATGGAAGTATCTTGATTTGTATATGACAATATATCTTCATGATCATGAAAGTAAAATTTTGTTGCTAAAAACTTTTTCATTATTAACCATAAATGAATTTTGTCTTTACCTTTGCAAACTCGATAATCTTGTAATCCATTCCACCATTTCAATGCACTTTTATCAAGTTTGTAGGATGCAAATATAACATTCTTTTCATGAGAAATCTTCATGAATTCAAAGAAATTTTCAAGAGCAAGCAACCAATCAAGAAAATCTTCTTTTTGAAATTTACTTAAACCGTTAAAATATGAAATTTTTGCAAAATAATGTAAGCTAACAGGTTGGCCTCAGGTGAATCCTTCGGCGCAATTGCTGTCAACTATTAGTTGTCTCTGGTTGACGATTAGTCTCAAATCGGCAAGTAGATTACAAATCTCATTGCGAAGTTCATACACCTCTAGCCGATGTTCTTCAATCACATCCCATATGGTTTCACCCTATGATTAATGTCAACAGGGATTATATGTTCTCCATTGTCTTGTGTCATTGAACTAGGCGAATCCATACTCTAATACCACTTGACGCAG